TTCCCCAGAGCAGCAGCTGCCCTCGCACAGCAGAACAGACGTGGCCTGGGCCTTCTTTGCCTGTGCTGGTTCTTGTTCCAGGTCAAGTTATTGGCACATCTAGATCAAATTATTGCTGTTTGATGGAGTCCTTCCTGGTTTCATTATGTGAAAATCCACAATGGGCAATGTTGTATCATAGAGGGAAATTTCTTTTTGACCATTGTCTATACTGTAGTTACCGTGGTCTGCAGTAGGAGGATCAATAGCTCTGGTAATTATTACCCTTACAAGTGGCAGTAGAATATCTGTCTTACTTATAGTCCTAACCCAAACTCCGAAGAATGGAGACCTGTGTTACAGGATATAAAGGTTAATTTTCAGATTAAAAAGGGTGCAGGATAAAACGATTATCTGTCTGTCCTTCCCCTCTCTTACTATCATCATAAGAAGTTTGGTGAGCTCGGGAACTTTGGAGTTAAGAAATCCAAGTGCAATGAGATAACAAACTTTCATTACAGACCTCATTCTGCCCTGCAGTGACCTGCATGGGAAAGGAGAGGGTAGTAGTGCACGTCCAATTTCCTTGGGGACAGCACAAAAGAAACACAGCCCAGGCTTGTGCCCTGCCTTCTCCATCTGATGCCTAAAGGTTGCTCTCCCGGCCCAAAAGACATGTAACCCTGGAAGATATGCCTCACCCGTAGAGAAAAGGATTTGTACATGGAGTGGTCAAAGCCTTTTTGAAGATGACACTTTACGTTGGTTCGAACAGGTCAGGAGCTGGACTGATTGAACACAAACCGTACAGGAAAGAGGTGCAGAACTGCACACAGCAGAGGAAGCTAGGGCTACCCTTTTGGCAAATAGCCAAACAGCTCACACCGCTCACAAGCCAGCTCCCAATCATTAGGACCTTGGTCAAAAAATGTGCTGTGTAGCCAAAAACTGAAGAGAAATGTTTTCGGTCAATTGAAGGGGGAAGATTTTAAAGGCTCGAGAATCCCAGTAGGTACCAATGAACATGCACAGGTACCAAACTGACTTTTAAAATCTGCCCTCAAGCTACTTGGCCTCCATCCCATTCCCAATAGCAACTTGGGCCCCAGCAGCCTAATTTCAAGGGTCTCTGCATGGCCCATGTGATTCGGCTTGTAGGTGGTGGCACAGACAAGGCAGTGGCAATGAGTTTTCCCTCTCTCTCCTGCCATTTCCATCTGCTGTGATTACAACTGAGAAGGCCAACAGGCTTTCTAGAATTTTACTAGATTTTAAGCGGTTACCTCTAAGCTCCTCAAGAAAACTCCTGCAAAGTGTTGGCCTATCCATGAGGAGAGTGTGTTTTAGGGATATCTTTCCTGGATTTCTCTCAGTGAATCTGAAGTTCTGTCATTTGGCATAGCTCAAAGGGACAGGTGCCCCAATTGTGCAAGAAGACCGTTAAGTATCCTGTATCTGAACCAAGAATCCCACTGCAGTCATTGATAGCATCCTTGTTGTGCTGGTTGGAAGTTATCTAGTCCATCCTTCCACCTAAAGCAGGACTGCTGCCAATGCTAGATCAGGTCAGCTTTGTAAAGTCAAATCTTGAAAACTTCCAAGCATGGAGAACCTACCATTTCTCCAGTGATCTGTTCCAGCGTTGCACTAATCTCTGGTGAAGACGTTTTTTCTCATGGCTCATCTGAACTCCCCAAGTTGCAGTTGCAGCCATTGCTCCATGTTATATCTTCTGCCCCTACCAAGAAAGGTCATGTTCCAACATCCTTGTAACTGCCTTTCAAGTATTTGTAGGCACCTATTTAATCACTCCATCCTCCTATTGGTCAGACTAAACAAGCCCAGCTGCCCCTGTCACTCCCTGCTCCATACTCTGACCAGTTTGGTAGTTCTCCATTGGACCCTCTCCAGTTTCTCCATGTTCCTCTTGAACTGGGGGTCAGCAGACCAGACACAGTCTAAGTGCAGCCTCAGAAATGCCATGGAGAATGAGGATTGTAACTTACCTCGATCTGCTAGCCATGCTCCTCCAGTATTCATTCATCGCTGCTTACAGAGTTCATCCAAGAAGAAATTACTTCCAAGAAAATTAGTATATATCAATCAACTATATGACCATGATCTAGACAGAAGATGAAAAGCTCTGCCAAAGATACTTGTTCAACTGCTTTTCATGGAAATGAATATACTTGCTTCAGATCCCTTTAGTATTGTGAAAACTTGAACCCACAGAGGACCCACGTGCATCGTTAAAAGTAAAATCCGCAGCTGAAAACCCTTTCACTTGAAAGAACAATTTTTGAGGCAACCTAATGTATTTATTTATTTTACATTTCCTGAGCATCTCTTCGGGATGAGATTGAGAGGCCATGTTTGAAGAGCTCATCAGCAAAATAGTCTAGCATGCACTGCACTGTAAAATCCTAGGGGAGGCAAAGCTGTTGCACTATTCACAAGGTAAACGAGACAAGCTCAGAGACATGCTCACCTCACCTACATGCATCATGATAACCTAAGAAGCTGGTTCTTCACTAGGGTTCTCTCATAAAGTAGCTGCTAGGTTGTTTTTTCCTTCTGTAGATGCTACCACCATTTTGACAAAGCAGGCAAAATCTCCAGCATTATTTCATAGGGCCTGGCAACTTTCTGGGAGTCAGGGACAGCATCTTCTTTTGATATTGAGTGGACTCTGGCACAGACAAAATTACTCACCCAAAGTAACCCAGACAACCTGAAATGAAAACTCAAGGTTTTTAGCTCCTAGCACGCTTCTTAAAATACTGTGGTTTTCTTGCAGTTTCCCCAGGTCTGACTGTTACAGGCATGGTGTTGCGCTTAGCTGCCTGCTGGGGTTAAACCATGACACATGGTTATTGAAAAGCAGACCTACCCTTGCTGGCAACATTCGCACCTTAAGCCCCTCAGCTCAGTGAACTGTATATGAGGCTCAGCAGACATCCACTTAGCTGGGTATGCTAAGGTCTGCATTTTTGTCTTCATCTGCCCTGATTCCTTCATGTGCTACATCCTCCATGAATGTCAAGCCTCACATACCAGGGATATGCAATTGAAGGCATTCTGTAAATGGGAGTGCGAGGAATTTGCTGTTTTGTTGCAACTGGATTGGTCAAAACGGCATTAAGCTGCTTCTTTCAACCAGGTGATGCAAGGACAATTTCAATTATTTGAAAAGAAAATTGCTGGGGGGGAAACAGCAATTTTCTTTTTGGAAACAAGATCTTGTTTCTGTTTTCTCTGTGATTTCACAGTTGTTTGTAGCCCTTATTTACATGTGGCACAGCAGTATCAATTCCAGTAACAATCACTTCCAACATACTTGTAATCCTCCTCGTGAACCCCTGATCTAGCATTTTCAGGTGAAAACTCCAGTGTTTGGATTAATTAGTTTCTCCCTAGCCCTTCCCTGCCATGCACCATGCTGCCTAGTTCTTTACTGTCATATATATATACACATTATATATACATTAATAAGATCTCCCCTCAGCCTTCCCTTCTCTAGGATAAACCGTCCCAGCTGTCCTAGCCTTTCCTCATACATGAGATGCTTCAGTCCTTTCATCATATTTGTGGCCCTTCATTGGACTCCTCAATATGTCCATGTCTCTTTTGTACTGGGGAGCCCAGAACTGGACACAGTACTCAAGGGACGGCCTCACCAGTGCTGAGCAGAGGGGAAGGATCACCTCCCTCGACCTGCTGGCAATACTTTGTCTAATGCAGACCAGGATACAATTCACCTCCTTTGCAGTGAGTGCACGTTGCTGGCTCATGTTCAACTTGGTGTTCACCAGGACCCTAGGTCCTTTTCCGCAAAGCTTCTTTCCAGCTGGGTGACCCCCAGCATGTACTGGTGCATGGGGTTGTTCCTCCCCAGGTGCAGGACTTCGACCTTCTCCTTGTTGAACTCCATGAGGTTCTTGTCAGCCCATTTCTCCAGTCTGTCTTACCCAGAACAAACACACACCTCAGAATATCTGCCATTAACCTCCTGATAATAGTAAATTGGAATATGATATAAATATGTTAGGATAAATAGGATAAATTGGAAATTAATAAAATTTCTCTTCCTTTGTTGGAACAAAATCACTAGCTGGAAAAAAGTGTTTTCCAGGTGTGTGGAAATGCAACCTGCTGTCCCACCCTTAATGTTCACTGTGGCTTTATGCTGTTCGCACTCTTAGCCTGTCTCTGCTGTATTTGAACTGAAAGCTCCTTGTAGTAAGGATTTGTCCACTGCTTCCTCTCTCTGAGTATGAAACTGCAGAGGTGGAGGGAGAAACACATTCTCGGTTGATTCAATAATAACAATTAACTGTATTCCTTTGACTCCAGAAGTCCAGCCTCTGACTAGTTTGGTTGAAGGTGGCCTATAAAACATGGTGTGCAGCTGGTTCCTTCCAACAGAGAGAAGTAATGACATGGATACACACTTTTGGTCCAGTGCAGTACTGGAGGTTTATTTTTACTGCTGGATTTACAGAAGTTGTAGTCTCATTTCACCGTCTTCTCTCCTACTCATAGCACTGGGATGCAAAAGGAGAGGCTGCCACTGGGAGAAGTCTGTTTTGTATGTTTCTGGCAGTGAACAGCACGCTTCATTTTCCTGGTCCTGCTGGCACCAGACAATGGAGATGCGGGGAATGGAAGTGAAACCTGATGCTCAGGAATGGAGGAAAATTCACCCTCAGAGATCTGAAGACCCAGCATCTGTTGTGACAAAACTTTTGTTTGCCCTTATAGGACAAATAAGGAAAGAGTAGGGCAAGGGATATGTCCCAGGTCTCATCTGGTCACAACAGTAATCCAACAGATGTGGACTGAGAATTGATCTACTACTGAGGATAACTCACCCTTATGGGCCACAAACCTGTCCCTGCAAAACACCTTGTGAGGGTGTGGAAAGGGCAAGTCCTTTTTCTTGTATAGAGCTTTGGTTTGCAGGACAATGATCCACTTGTACCACTGATGAGATGGTTATGAGATGAAAATGCACATGGGATTTATCTAAGAGATTTCTCACATATCCATGGAGCAGAAAATTCACAGCTGGAGGCCCAAAAGTGATCTTTCATCAGGACAACACAGTGTTGCACAGGGCTGTTAGAGAGGATCCTGCAAAAGACACGGAACAACAGTGAGACTGAGAGAAAATACTGAGATTGTCTCTTGGAGGCAAGAAAGAAAAAACATCCGATTTTGAAGGGCAGAGCCCAGAGGAAGTGAAAGAGCCCAACCTCCAAAGGGCAGCTGTTAGAAAACAAAATACACCAACATACCTATCTACCCAGAGATTACACATCTAAGTAATTTTGCGATTGTGGAACCCAAATCAGAACCAAACATAAACATGATGCCCTGCAGTGACAGTGATACCCACCAGCAGGAGAACAGCAGTGCTGAGAGTTTCATGGAAAGATGATCGCCTCCATGGAGTTTGTAAGAACAGAAAGATGGATTTAAGAAGGGAACTAAGCCAAGTGCTTAGAGTCCTGACCTACTGACAGCGAGATCTTGGGCGAGTTTCTTTGCTGGAGAAGTGTTAGAGACTAACTCATTGTGTTAACTGCCATAAAAAGGAAAGGGTCAGGCAAAGTCACTGGACCAAATCATAGTATTTTCCCTCATGCAGAATGCTGAGTTTTGTCCAAGTAAATACTGAGCCAAAATCAAAGTTCTGACTTGGGTTGGCACCAGTGAAGGAGCAAAGGGCTGGGTCCTCGCACCCAGTGACACCAGCACTTGGCAGAATGGGTGCAAGGAGCAAGGTGGCTAAACCCAGTAAAGCCAAGATGGACCATATGCTTTTCTGACTAGGCAACTGTGTGGGCAGTGCAGGTAAATAATCATTGGTCTGAGCAGCTGGATGGAAGTAGAGAGTGAGATACTAACATTAGCCCTGCTTTTCACAGGTACATGCCTTTACGAGGTGCAGGGCAGTAAAAAGTAGACCCTTTTGAGTTCAGTGCCGTACAGGTGACAGTAAGAAGAAAATCTGCCCAGTAAGAAAGCTCCTGAGATCTGGTGCAGGAACTCTGGGTGTTGTGGAACACCAGGCAATCTGAATTAGCACTGCTGTTTTTAAAAACAGAATGAAACTCACTTGGTGCCATTGAATATAGAGCCATCTTCCCAAATCCAGCCAGAGCCTGTGCTGTTCCTCAGTCCAATCCAGAAACATCCTGTTTGAATACTCTTGAACAGGTCCTAGAAATGGTGATGAATTACAAAGTGACTAATGGCAGCCAGCCTGAAAATGGAGGTAAGGATAAGTAAAGAGAACGGAGAGCAAGATACATCCCCTCGCCTGACTGTTCCCTAAGTGGCTGACAATACTGCTTCTCCACACCTTCTAATCAGGAAGATCAGCCCTGCAGATCATGCCTAGAATAACAGCTATGTGTACACTCACAAGGAAGTAAGCGTGCTTTCAAGGGTCCTGGGCAGATTCTTCAAAGGACATTTCTCAGGGCAATACATGTGAACCAACTGCACCCCAGTCTCCTGGAGTTTCCTACACAGGGCTTTATGTAGGAAAGTACACTATTAGTATTAATATTAATGCTCCACAATGCAGCTAGCTAGCAAGCTAATACAAAGTATTAACAATTAAAGGTAAAATCAGGGCAGGGCAGGAAGTGCAGGCACCAACAGAGCTGTGTAAAAAGCCCAGGACCGAAGCTCATTAAATTTCATACAAACTTTCCTCCTACATGTTTTCAATGCTTGTTTCCTTTTGCCTAACCTTTAACTCCTGTTTACTGTTAAAAGGTGAAGCCTGCAACAGAAACTCAGCCCTGAAGTAAATTCTCCCCCTCACAAAAAAAAAAAAAAGACAAAGACAAGAGAGAGAAGTTTGTCTTGTCCACATTTGCAGTGAAATCCAACAACAGCAACCTTTCCGTGGTATGGCTGGGCCCTATCCTTGTCTCCTGCTGCCATAAAAAAAGCTTCAGAGCAGATATCTTCACCTAGAAGCATTAACAAATCTGGCTTGGTAAAGTGGTGGAAATAGGAGTAGCTTGAGGAACGCTTAAGTGTTGCTGGTGGTTTGGAGGTGACTGTGCTTCCCTGGCAAAGGGAGGTTGAACAGTCACAGCCTTTGCAGCATAGGGCATGGATAGCTAGGAAAGTCTTGCTTACATGGAGAAGTCTGAGCAGGGTAATGGGTAACACTCTAGTAGCAGAGACAGTAGTAAGAAAGTAGCCTGACCAGGGAGGATTTCTTCACTCAGAGAAATGGGTAATCTGGGGAAGATGAGTATTTCTCAAAGAATCAGGATTTGCCTAAGAAAGTGTGAGAGCCTGGTATACCCGGTCGAGCAGAGACCTGGCTTTGTAAGCCCCCACAGAACATCATACAATGCAACTTCTGTCCAGGGACTGGACGCTGTCCACGTTCATTGGACCTGAGCTAATAAGCCCTGGCTTGCACAAAACCACATCAAGTACTTCTGCTCTACTTATGCAGACGTGCCTCACCTCCCTAGTGACCAGCTGTACCCATTTCTTTAGAGGTCATACATGCCCCTGCCCCCAGTGAGCACCTGCTGGAAAATGAGCAGTGGAACAGATGGTTTCTGATTTCACCAGCACAACTGAGGTTTCTTGGCAGAGAGAGGAAGTAAGCATTGAAAACAGACTGAAAAAGAAATATCCATGCATGAACACAGGAGTGGCAAGGGTCACTGAGCAGGAGGAGCTGGAGCGATTGCAGGGAGGAGAGGCATCGCTTTTGCAAAGGAATCATTTCTGAAGAGTGGGGACGTATTGGTTTGTAGGCAATGAGTACAGAGACTGCATAGTGCCACAGTCTTTTCCTGTAATCACTCACATCAGCCTTGTTGGGGCTAGGAGGGGAGGTGGAGTGGGACAGTGGAGAAGACTGTCTCCTAACATCATTCCTAGGATGATTCTGAGTAGCTGACAGTGACCCTCACCTCTCCCTTCCCCCCTTTGCTTCTTTGCCTGCTGGGAACTTCTAAGGTGCATACTGAAACTGGAAGTGCACTGTAATGTTGCAGTCATAAATCCTTCCTCTCCTTTAAAATCAAAATGAGTGACAGCACTTCTTGGATGTCAATCACTGAGGTATCTGCAAGGAAATGGAAGATCCTCAAAGAATAAGAAAACCATTACCATTTCGCTGGAATCACTGATCACCAGGAGATGAGCTCCCTGTGCCCAGCACGATTGCTGGCTGGAATGCCAGTCCTTCTTCTCCCTGGAGAAGGAGTAGCAGCTCCCTCTGTAGGCTACCCACTGCTCAGGGCAGCGTGGGTGGGAGTCACCTGTAAAGGAATCAAAATACCAGCTTTTCTCTACCATTAACCAACAGAAAGACACTTGTCAGCAAAGACCTGCTGAAAAGCAACTCTTCTGGATAGTTGCAATGCAGAAAACACAAGTCAGTATAAGCATTTAAAAATAACAATGCATGAACACTGAATTTCAGATCTTCTGTGCAATTTCCAAATCTTCGTACAAGAGTCACATGCACTCTGATGCTGGTGCAACGCCCCCTCCGGGTTTCCTCTGAACTACTCAGATACCTGAGAACCAAAATTGGCTATCTGAAAGCAGACGACACTCTGGGTGCACAAAAAGTAAGGGAAAAAATTACATCATTTTGTGGGTACAGTGTGATCATGTCACACATCAGGTGAACGAATTTTAAGCAGCAAACAGTAGGCTCTCCCACATGGTCTAGTACCTTATACATGCATGCAAAAGTGTTATAGACGTGCATATTTGTTTTATAGTTTACCACTATAATTACAGCAGACATCTCTGCAAAAACCTTTGAAAATGCTTCACTGCTATTTGCCACAGGATCTGAAATGGGTTGCCTGGGGTCTGCACAATATTTCTTCAAAATATTCTGGATAGGCAATGGGTACTTAAGTGGAAACCTAGAACAGCTTCTGGTTTAACCTTATATAATGGAGTTCAGGGTCTGAGCTCCTGTGCTTAGATGAGTCTCTGGTCCTTTGCTGCTGGTTGCTCATCCTCAGCACCCCTTTGTGCACTTACTCATCTTCCAAATCAAAGCAATCGCTAGGGAGATGCTCAGTATCCCAAAGCCTATAGCCAAGCCCGGCACAACTGCTGGCCACAGACAGGGAGCTGTAAAAGAGAAAAGAAACCATAGTGAACAGGAGCCACATGAAAACTAATGGTGGTTTTACACAGTTTGCTTGTGTCCTGGGCATTTCCATAAGGAACTGAATTATTTAGAGCATTACTGTCTGTCTACGCTCTGCACATCGCTGCCCCGCCTCCCCGGGGCCTCCCCACACCCCTGCCCACCAGCCCAGGGCCCCATTTCAGCTCAGCCCGGAGCCATCAGTCCCTGCCTGAGCTTCCCAGCAGGTGTACCTGTCTCCAGGTCAGCCACAGCTCTGGCCCTGCAGGACCACAGAGCTGGCTGGTCCAGCCCCTGCAGTGGCTGACCCCAGGAGTGGAAGCACCTGCCCCGAGTCAGCCGGAGCCCCCAGGCACCGTGTGACACCTCGCGCCGCTGGCAGGAGCCTCCCAGCAAACCAGCTCCTGCCTCAGCATTGAAGCTCGGGGTGGAAACACAGAGCTGCACTGCTACAGCCACTATGTTCCAGCTTAAATGCAAAAAGAAACCCAAGGCCTTTTCCCCCCGCGCTCTTAGCAACAGCAACAGGTTTAACCTCAGCATCCTGTTCACAGGCTTAGACACACCATCGTGTTACATCTTCCCAGGACACTCACAAGTCAGTCCTACGCTCTCATCCGCCTCTCCGATGGCGGGGTGGTAGGATGGGAGGGGCAGCCTTGAAGACCTTGGGATGCCCCTCCACGCTTTCACACCATCATCTGCTGTTCACTTGCTGCCAGTGGCAGAGGGTGACTCTTTGGGGCAGCCTCCACCGTAGCCCAGCACAGCTTCCTTTCAAGGGTGGGGCAGGACTGCCATGTAGAGGTCTGCCCATGTACAGCATGACCCGTTAGCCTGCAGGCCACACCTTGCTCTTCTGTTGTCTTCTCCTGGAGCTGAAAGGCATTCACTTTCCATAAGCTGTTTGAAATCTCAGCACTAAAATCTCCTCTCTCCAGGTTGAGGAGAGGATGACACTTACTGTCACAGATGAGCTCCAGGGGGGTTTGGTTTGCTTGTTTTATTAATCTCAGTGTGACAGCTGCATAGACAATAGGACTTTCTAAGAAGCACTAAATGTGCAGCTAATGGTTACTGATGTTGAGGAACCCAGGATTTCCCAGTGCTTCTCCCTTAAGCTTATGTACCACATCCTGCTCTTGTGGTGCTCCAGAGTCTTCTACTCAAATCCAGCAGTAAAGTCCCTGGTGGAGCTCATGAAATCTGAGGTTATTCTCTCTTGGTCGTGTCACAAGACCTAAAGAAACATATCTGTACTCCCTAAAAAGGCTAGGAGTCTAAGAAGTAAGATGGAGGGAGGGGAAGGCTAGCTTTAACCAAAGACAATACCACAGCGAGTACATCGAAAACTTAGTAGAAAAAGGGCTGTGATAGGATGTCATAGCAATAGGATACAAAATACACAAGGAAGACAGAGAGGACTGTTCTCTGCTCAAGAAAAATTACAGCCAAATCAGGTTAAAGAACTAACTGCATCAAGAGTAACAGCAACACTGCAGACCAGGCAAATACTACTAAATGCATCAGGTTGGAATTATATACCAGACAAGGATGGTGACAGCACTCATGAACCAGCAAAAGGAACCAGAGCAACCATGAGGGAAGCACGGTGACGACAAGCATCAATTAATCGCATTAAATTAAGCAAATGCCACATCAGGGCATGATGCTGAGACTGAATGCTTAGACACCATCAATAGGCACCTCGTGGAGCGGCAAGACAGGAAACACAGAAAGCGAACCAGCTCGTGACTGCCCTGAGCCATGCTCAGGCCACCCGGCTCACCATGGCTCCATCCAGCAGCTTCTCTGCTGCAGTGAACACAAATGCACTGAGATTCAACAGAGCCAAAAACCACCACCACCACCACCACCAGGCACTGTGGTATAATAATTTCAAAATGGGAAACTACAGAAAAATGAGGAAGTTTGTCAGAAAGGAATTAAAAGGAATGGCTAAAAGAATAAAATATTTGTAAGCAATAGAGGAGGCTTTTTTTAGGATCTCTCAGTGGAGGTTGAAAACAAATGCACATCACGTATCAAGAATATTGTGGGAAGGACAAAGAAAGCCAGCACTAAAACAGAAGGAGAAAGGATTTCACTTAAACAGAAGAATGTATCCTTTAAGCATTGGAAGCTTTGTCCAAATACAGAAAGTAGACAAGATCAATAAATTAATAAAAAATAATTTATTTTGATCTTAGAGAGGTTTGCAGGCTCACCGGTTTTAAGACCAGTTTCTAGTTTATAGCAACATATTTAGACCTGCAGTTTTGGCTAAAAGAAGTAACGAGGGAGAGCATGAGGGAGCTTTGCTGTAAGCATCATTCTTCTGGTAGAAAGATGTTTCCTAAGGTAAAGGTTTTGTTGTGCTTCCTGAAGCTTGAAGGATCTTCTAGCTGCCCCACTTGTAGTTAAAAAAATACCAACGTTTATTATGTTTTTAATCATAATTCAAGAACAAAAACACATCTCTCTTCAGTTACAAAATACAGAAAGACATTTCAGTTACAACCTACTCCTCGGCTTCACACAAGAGGACAATGGGAGAACTGAAGGACTTGAACTGGGTAGCTGTTCTCTCTGCCTGCTCTCTATTCCTCTTGTAAGGTCACTGGGTTTTGCCATCAGATTAAGCCTCAAGAGAATGGAGTCAGCCCGAGGTTAAGGGGTAGGGTGGAGCTGCTTCTCTGCAGATTACAACTGAAAACTAACTAAAAGCGGATAAATATCTGTTGAAACATAATTCTTTGTTCTGAGACCACATTTCTGAGAATTTGCACTTCTGTTTTCCTTCATCTCTTGCCTCTCAAAGAAGCTATCTCCTGCATCCTCCAGATCTGTTCCGGATTTTAGGGAAAACTACTTCCAGGACAAGACGACTGGGATGACAGTCAGTGAAACAGTTAATCCTTAAATGCCAGCACCGGGCATCCTAGCTGGTGCCTCCTGGCAATGAATAGAGCAGTTCACTCTCTATTGTTTCAAACCAACTGCAGAAAAAAGGAACTGACTCGACTCAGCATCAAAACAAAATCCCAGGGCACCTCCACAATCAGAGCAGTGGGAGAGTTCACTTCAGTTCTTAAAAATGAAAAAGTATGACATTAGATAATTTTGGGAGGAAAAAAGAGAGTGAAGAGGGCAAGTCATATTGAAGTGTTCAAGGTGAATTTGAGCCTCACTTGAACTGCAGTGATCAACCCAGGGAAGTGGAATAAAAAATTTCATAAATCGGGAATTTTACCCCTTGCAAAAGGGAGTCCCTGCAGTTCCCCCTTTTTAAAACAGGTTCAGGGGTTTGTGTTTGATCCTCAGCCCCTGCAGTACATGTGAAGCTCTTGCAGAAGAGAAAGGGAGAAGTACCTGGAATGAGTTTGAAACCGAGGAGGGAAATCTGAATGGAGTATCCAGAAATATTTCCATGTGGTTGTCTGAGGAACTGTAGAAGAGTCTCCCCAAGAGAAGGGCGAGGTGGACCGGTGGACATTTAACGTAAATATCTAACGTTATAATTTTCTAGTATACAAAACACCCAGTTAGGTCTGTCAGTGCCCTGGAGAAATGACTGTGATACGCTGCATTCATCTGCAAGCAATGTGACCCAATATTTTTAGCTTTGGGAGTCCAGATTCAGTTTGAAAACTGAAAGCTGTTAGCATTTTATAATTCAAGTCTTTTAGGACAATCTGAAGAATGTCATTGTGCTGTCCCAAATAGCTCCCCTCAGCTCCTGTCTACGTCAGCATGGGAGCAGCATGACTATCAAGGGCCAGGGAGGAGGATTTGAGAAACGAGGATCCTGTCCTTGGCTATGGCACAGACCTGGTTATCACTGTTACTACAAGCATGCCACACAGGCTAACGCTGTCTTATGTGACTGCTGGACTGACATTTTGGTAGTGTGGCATATCTAAGGCTCTCTGGAAGCCAAATAGAAGACAGCCAGGGCAACTCTTCATTTTCGAGGACTCCATGGGAGCCAAAAAAAGTTGGTTTGACCAGAGGACTGATCTATACACCCGTGATATACCTGTGATAATGTGTCCCAGGGATGACTTGGTAGCAAGGGTGTGCATTTGAAAACAGAGATGAAATACCTGAGAGCACATCTCTTAAAAGTGATGGAGGCGGGGACAGAGTTGAAAATAAAGATCTTCTAAAGAAAGGTACTTAAACTGCGCTCCTTAGGGACTCCTCACACGCAGAAGAGAGCTGGGAAATAATCAAACAATATGCACAGAAAGTGTGTTCAAAGATCAGCTTCCTTATTTTAGGCCCTCTGAATTCAGCTGAAAAAGATGAGGGTACATAAAGGAATTTGGAGAGGAGGAATATTAAAAAGAAAACTGCAAACATCTCAAGAGGGCATCAGGTAATCTCCACCTCCAACAAGGCGGGAGTGAACACAAATGGCAGGGAATTAAGGGATGTCCCTGTGTCTTCTGATGCAACGGAAAACATCATTTCTGATGAAAACACATGCAAAAGCAAGATTGCCTTCCAAGCAGGAGTGTGATTACCAGATAGGAACTTGGGGGTTTCTGTGCTGGCTTTGTTTCCATAGTGCAGCAAGTGACCAGGCAGCAGTAACAACCACAGATGTATGCAGTTATTCTGATCAGGGCACAGAAATCTCGTATCCCAGAGCGAGAGCCCCCTTTGCTGTAACAGCTCTGAAAAAAGCTAATGTCAACCATTAGTGTTGCAGCCAATGCAACACAACTCATCTAAAGCACACGGGCATTTAGAGGAAAAGCAATCATCTCATGGGAAGGAGACGCTTATAAAGAATCATCATCAATGCAAAATCTCACTCTTCTAAGGTGGTATTTCTCAAATAAGCAGCCAGAGAAATTGCTCAGTGCTACATTTGCAAGGCCTGAACAGGGGGAATGGAGCAGAAATAAGGGAAGAGAAAATTTAAGGAAAGCACTAAGAAAATCTTCCTGGTAATAAAATGCCCTGCAGAACTGTCTCAAGACAAAAGCTGAAAATTTGCTCACTGGGAGGTATGTAAAACTAAAACAGAGAAAACACAGGAAAAAATGTATCACAAAAGAATCCTGCAGAGCCCCACGGGAGAGAGAATGGATGATCTCATATGCCTCCTCTGTCTCTGATCTCTGATTAGCATACGCCTCTAATTTATCTGTACTCGCATCTCGCCTGCCCTTCAAAGAACTATTGCTGACAATCTCTTATGGCTGAGAAGCAGACAACTTTAAAAGTGCAAACCCCTTTCGGAGAAAAGGATGCCTGGGATGAATGCCCAGGAGTAAATACCGAAAGGGGTCTGACAGAGAGAGGGAGGGGAACAATGCTGGGTCTCTGACCCATCGGCTTTTATCACAGTAAAATACTCACGGTAATTTCAGAACAAAAGCAACACCACACAAAGTCAGTAGCCAGCTCAGAGTGTTTTTGTTAGAATTTGCTTTCGCTTGAAATAAAATCTTTTGTTGACCTACCTCATCCAGCTTCCTTACCTCTCCTTTCCTGTCCAGCTTTGGCCCTTGGTGGCGGAGTCTGAGAGAATTTGACAGAAGTATAAATTATTTCCTCACTCGCTTCGGCTGCAGAAGTTTCTGATCTGCTTCCCTCCATGCCAAAGCAAAGAGTGCGTATGACAAGATGTTTCGATCAGGCTGTTGAACGACAGGGCTCAACGACTGTGAAACAGGAAACCTGAGGCTACATTCAGAAGACAAGAAATGTGAAGTTGCAACCTCTAACTCCAGCTGCTCAAAATAACCAAATTTACAACAGAATGGAGAGCAGTGGAAGTGCAACAACTTCCATTTTCTAACCTGATGAGGGATGTCTTAAGAACAGCCGTTAGTGGAAGATGTGATTAATCACAAAGTTCACGGGTATTCTAATTGTTGCCAATGCAAGAGGCTGTGATTACACTGACGTAGTAATTGTGAGAATGTGTGTCGCTCTGAAGAGCTCCCTCTCAGGGCAAAAGCAGGTGGATAGCGAGAGCACAAGGTGAAAAAGGTGAATAGCAAGATTACAAAGAGAAAAGTGGGATAAGCAATGGCTATGGCAAACTGGCAGCCCAACTGCTGTCAAAAGGGAAGTAGAGGTGGACAAGCATGGGTTTGAGGAGGAAGCCTTGTGAACTTTGGACAATTCTGCTGGGAACTGTTTCCACATCCAACACCCACTGTGAATGTGCTTGAGACACAGGCAGGCACTGAGGGCGGCTGGCATCCCTCAAGACCCTCTGAGTCAACATCTCAACATCATCAGTACCAGAGAGACATGGACATACTGGAGAGAGTCTAGCAAAGAGTCACAAAGATGATGACAGGACTGGAGCATCTGTCCTATAAGGAAAGGCTGAGATAGCTGGGACGGATTAGCCTGGAGAAGAGATGTCTTGGGAAGGATCTTATTAATGTATATAAATACCCAAAGGGAGGGTACAAGAAGAGCCAGGCTCTTTTCGGTGGTGCCCAGTGACAGAACCAGAGGCAATGGGCACAAACTGAAACAGAGGAGGTTCTCTCTGAGCATCAGGAAACACTTTTTTACCCTGAGGGTGATTGAACATTGGCACAGGTTGGCCAGAGAGGTTGTATGGTCTCCCTCCATGGAGAGTCGTGTGGACACGGTCCCGGGCAACTGCTCTGCTTGAGCAGGGGATTGGACCAGATGACCTTGAGAGGTCCCTTCCAATCTCAGCCATTCTGTGACTGTGGTCAGCAATAACAGGAAAGGATAGTTTTTTTCTGAAGTAGTGAAGATTGACCACTGATGAGAATGGGGGGAGTACTGATGCTTCTAGCATGGCTAGATGATTGTTTTGATCCAGATTCTGATCTCTTCCAGTTCATACTCAGATTGAAGATGTTTGCCAGGCTCGGGCTGTACATCTTCCTCACTGGTACAGTTGATTTACAAGAATTGTCTGGGCATTCTCAACAAAGGAGTTTGCCATGGTTTTCAGTTCTAAGACAGGGATGATTCCTCCCCATCCTGGTGACATGCTGTAAATTTGAGAAGTGATTGCCTGGGAGGATGGTTAGTTTGATATAGAGTGTTGTGGCCAATTTGTTATAATGCACATGTCTGGGAAGGCATGGATATTTCTGCAAATTCCTCCATCACACACTTGCCTCTAAGGGTGGCACATTGCACCCACAAGATTCCTTCCAAACCTGGGTAGGGCCTGTAGACAGCAAGACAGGGAGTCTGTACTTGAAAAGAAGGGGAAAGCAGAAGACAGCAGAGCACACAAGAAGAAAATCTCTCCTGAATGCTTTGAACGGATATTAGATAAATCTAACGAGAGCTGTCAAGCCCAGAGAGGGAGAATTTGCTATAGTCGTGATGACAGCTTAGCTGGAATGTAATCTGTGTGGCTGGAAAGAAACCAACAAGATTCAGACGCTGCTTAAGTACCCAGACCAAGAGGAAAAGGCTGCAGCCAAAGGCACTCCAGGCTGCTCGCAGGGCCATTGTGATCACAAAGATGGTGTTATTTGTGAACAAGTGGAGAAGTGAAGGCTGGCAGGGAAGAATTAAGAGCTCTGTTTTGATGTGTTTTACCATTTTCTCTCAAATATGAGCAAGAAGTTGAGTTCTTAGTTTGGACAGGAAATAGAGAGGAAGTGATTGCACTGTAGGAGGGTATGGAGGCAACACACCATTAATAGCTAAGTGTGAATATAAATAAATCAGACCTCTGCAGCTGAGATGTCTGTGCCATACCCCCAGGGGAATCAGCAGTAGGACACAAATCACAGCAGGAGTAAATCGATCAGTTTTCCAGGAGCCAACAATGCTCCTTCCCAGTTCCTCACTGAAGCAGCATACCGTAGGGAAGCCTCCCAAACCCCTCTCAAACAAGTGGCTTCTCTAGCATATTGACAAGTTCACTAAATCCATCATTTCTTTCTGAACTAAAAGATGCAAAAGTCTCAGCGCTCTGGCAAAGAGCATCCGTCCCTTCCAGTAACAGAGCCCTGGAAAGTGGACTCTCTTGCCATCACAGTGGGGGCATGACTTACAAAGAGAAATGTCCTTTAAATATGCCAGTCTCAAATCATTTATAGCTTTATTAATCAGACTCAAGATGCTCAAGTCCACCAACCTTGTGCATGATCAGCTGGACCTGGAATTCCTCTGCAGGGCCAAAACTCGCAGGAGCTGGAGGAGACACCTTTATTCCAAAGTATAACACAACAACATGTCAGGCGGGGACAAAATCAGAAGGATCACAGACCAGTTTTATGAAGAATGGTCTCCCTTGCTTGTTCAACAAGAAGTCGCTCTGGAGGTACATGGCGTGGGGATGGCAAAGCCCACGGACAGCGATGGCCCACGACTGCCTTCGGCAGAGGGAGGGAGGGGGAAGGCAGGCAACGGCTCGAGGACGCTGGGAAGCCTTTCACCTTTACTGACTGCAGGCGATCCGAACCGGTACGAGGGCCAGAGGTGAGAGTTCGGCTCCAAGGCGGGGAAGCTACAGAGCACCCGGGCGGGGTTACCCTCAGAGGGGTGCCCGGGGA